ACCAAAGACACTTCGAGCTGGGATCTCGGCAGGCAATTCCACTGTTGCAGGGGCACAGAAACCTGTGCACCGAGCACCAAAAACACTTCGGGGTGGGATTTCTAGATAAAGAAGCAGTAGCACACCTTATGGCCACAATTGATACAACAGAACATACCATTTCGGGGCGCGCTCCCCCTTGCTGCACCACGGGGTCGGCGGATTAATGCTTGACACTGGAGTTTGCCAGGGCGAAGATTCGCATGGACCCTGCCTTGACCAATGCCGGGAAGACACACGCACACACACACACAGAGAACGCTCAGGACACCTTAGCTGCATGAATTTGCACGACAGTAGGCAATAGAAAAGGAGATGTGGATACGGATAGATATGTAAGGATACGTACATAGTGCTTGGAGGAGTGAATATTGACATGTTGCTTAAGCATGCAGACGATCATTGGAGGGTGGCCCAATATATCCGCAAGCATCATCATGCACTGCCTTCATCATTCGGTGGAACTTGTGTCTATACATGGAGTTTTTCTCCTGTCCAGAAGCTGCTCGATTTTGGGATGAATCACAGAATGACTCCTGCAAAACCCTACAGTCAGATGCTGCAGCTGCTTCCAATCGGGGGCATTGGGAAGCACGAATGGCCACCCGTCGGTTCCAAGGCATGACGGATGGCTTCAAGCTGCGGCGCGGTACCATCGACGCGGGTGTTTCGCTGATCACCGACATCAAGACTGCCATTTTTACCTCCGCGGCCATGCATAAGAAGTGGGTGAGGGAGAGCAAGGGCAAATCCTTCTGGGATGTGTCCTCATGGCAAGAGTACGTTGAGATTGTTGAGAGGCTCAGCTGAGAGGTTTCGTGTTGCGTCCATGATGTTGGCATGCATGGATTATTTTGGGATGTTGATCTTGGAGAGATCCTCAACCTTAATGCCTGTTTTGGCGGGAGGAAGCTTGGACCTGTGTTCAAGCTCCCGCAGCTTTAGTTGCTTTTGCATTTTGGGCACGAATGCATAGGCAGTAGCAACGACAAGAAGTGTTGGCATTGGCATTTGGATTGCAAAGAATATGGAAGTTGCTACTGCAGGGTGCATGAGCCTCCTGCTTCTGTGATGGAAACCAGAAGCGCAGCCTACAAATGGCCAGACTCATGCATGTGCCGGGAGCTCCGGTTCATGCTAACCTTCAACACGGGGGGGACAAAAGGATGCTGAAACTACCAGATGCGATGCGAGGCTTGGTTCAACCCTCCATGATTTGCTAGATGAGTCATGGAAGCACAGCCCTTTAAGCAGCTCGCTCCCACGAAGCACAAGAACCAAACAAAAACACAGCGAGCAGTGTCAGGTCATGCGGTGCGTCTTCTTAGCTATCCGGACTTTCTCGAACGCTTGGCGGAGCGTGTGGCCCGCCTTCGTGAGCGATTTGGCTGGCTCTCAGGTTCCAAAGGACTGCTCGCGCTGACCGAGGTGTTGGTTTTCGTTGGTAGCGCTCTTGGGTGATGAAGTCGTGCCCGTACAGTCAGTGGGGTCTTGCCATGCCCTTGCCACTTTTGCAGCCAAAGAGGCCCGGGAAAGAATGGTTAAGAGCCGCACGGTATTCAGTAAAACATAGATACACACCGCATCCAGTGTTCGTAGACTCCATGAGCCTGTCAGATTTGAAGTCGAGGATTCTAATCACAAGAGCCGAGTTTGAGTAGGCTTTTCTGCCCTCCCGCCATGGCCGACGTTTGTGCGTGTTTGAGTGACTTGGTGGAAAAGATTTGTTCTGCCAAGGATCCCAAGGCGTTAGGTCCCCCACCAGCGCCAGCTGGGTCGCTTCCGGAGCCTGCGCCGGCCGCGCCGGCAGCCGCTGGTCGACCCAGTTCGGCGCCTAAGTCGCCGAAGTCACCCGCTGCCGAAGCGGACGATGCCGGGGCTGGCGGGGCGGCCACGTTGGCAGTGCCGGAGGCGGAGAAGTTCGAGGTGAGCAGCGCCAAAAACTGCTGTGGGAATGATTGAAGACGTAAAAGGCATACGTATACTCAGATGTAGCGGCGACAACAGCGAGTGCAATTTGCCAGAGGAACAGACCAACAGACCAATAGCCATCATCAAGCGCAGGTTTTGGACAGTTAGTCTATCAGATTTTTCCGAAAATGTTGTCCAAAAATGTCCAAAATCCACTTGGCAAGGCGACCAGTGACGGCCGCTCCAGTCGCGCCAAGCGCGCCCGGGATGCCTCTCGGCGTGGCGCGGCGCGGAGTCCGCGCGCGATGGTCCCTGCGGTGCTGCGGGAAGATCCCGCCTCGCGGCCCTTCTTCTGTGGTCGCTGGCCCGGACGTCGCAACGACTATGAGGGGGAGGACACGGCCTTTGGAGTTTGTAGAATTGCAGAGCTTGTTGAGCGTGGGAGGGGTGCTGGAACTCTGATTGGAGCTGTTGTGTAGTTCAACTGCTTCCGAATGATGGATGCAGTAGAAAGGTGTAGAAAGTAATCAATGTAATCATTGCATCGAGTGATTTGGTCCATGTCTATGGTCCAATTATCTTCAATGTACACTCCGTTTCATCACGCCGAGAATTTCACGTGCCACCAATCCACAGGCAGGATTTCGCTTTGTCATGGAGATGGTGCCTTGGCAAGCAGGAGTGCCAGTGACCATGAACCGGAGTTACATAGTTCATAGCAGTTCCCCGGCACCCGAGGATTGCGAGCTCACCGCACTGGGCCGCCCAGCAGAGCCACCCTTGGCCGAGCCCGCCATGGTGTCGCTCTGGCATGCGGGATCTCAAGAGCTGTTAGCCTCAGCCATGGTGGGTCCAGCCTCCCGAGTGGATGGCTTCTATGCATGGGAGCCATTGATGGAGCCCATCATTTTAAGGGAGGGCCAGGAATACAGACTTTCGCAGCCACTGGACTGAATGCCGTGGTGCCTTTTCTATTTTTGGAGCATCTAGGGGGTCCTCCCGTGAGTGACTTAAGGTCGAAACAGCCAGCTGTTCACACCCTGCTTGCGGATCCCCCGCCCCAAAAGAAAACACGCCCCGACCCGAGATGTCTTTTGTCAGCGTTTGTCTCCCAGCATCGGCTCGATGTCTTTCGGACCTCCACGCGAGGAGATGTCGGGCGAACATGCCCGACCGATGGTCGGACGAGCTCACCAACGGCGAGGAGATGGCGGGGAAGTCCTGGGCGTCGCTGGCACGTTTCCTCGGCGGCGTGTGCCGAAGCTTGGAGGCATCCATGTTAGGCGTTTCGAATCGCTTCGATGGTCAGATACGCCTCAGGTATATAAACAGTATGACAGCATGAGTCTAGACACTCACCAAATATATCCACATATCATGGGCCCTCCCTTAAATATTTATTCCAGGGGGGCATGTCACATAGTGGAATATTTTTTGTGGAATAATTAGACGGTAGAATATTTATTTAAATAATCCTAAAGGGGGTCTCTTGATGCTGAGACTCAGGAGGAATAATTTCATGCCAACTATCCCTGGAATAATTTACATAATCGAAGCTACTATCGAAGCTTTTCGAGCCTGTGTTGATCTGTCTTGGATCTGTTCCACGAGTTGATATTTCTAATGACAGAAAATATTCCTGCATCAGGTGCACATCTGGAATAATTATCCTGAAACTATGTTCAAGGCCCCAGGAATAATTGCTAATTATTCCTAGGTATGTGGAGATAGGGGGGGGTCTAAGGTAGGGGCCATCACATATCAATTTACAGCCAGCTCTCGCCCCAGAAATTGCAACTCCATGCGTTCAGCAGAGGTTGCAAGGCCAACAACCGCTGGGAACCTCATGCTTTCAGCACCCTCTGGCTAAAGCATCTTAAGCTTTGCTTCGTGGAACCCTCGTCCTCTGGCCCGGCCTTTGGGGGTTCTCTTCGTCCGAGGAAACAGCGCCGAACGCTTCCCCAACCGTTTGGATGGAGAGCTTCGAAGACCCGGCATCGTGAACTTCAAGGCGCTCCCGAGACCGATGCCGGAGCCCGCGCTGGACACGGTCGACCGGGAAGACTTTGCAAAGGCCTTGGCTGTTGGACTGGCGGCAGAGGCCCAAGAGCTGGGCATGGCATCTGGGACGAAAGGAGTGCGGGCATGGCATGGCATCCTAGAGAAGCATTTTGGGACCCCCTACGACCCCTACGATGCCAACTGCAGCCAATGAGAAGGCCTTGTGATGATGGTTTCTGCCCTGGAGGTTGCCACCTATGGCAACCCCAATTTGTTTGGTCCCAATTTGGTGTATAAAGGTCTCCTGCCAACGCAGCACGGGGAGTCTTGTGACCCTCTCTGGGCCGCGGAACTGGCTCCGCCGAGCGGCACGTGACGCGTGACGTGATGGCTCAGTTGCCACCGAAGTCGCTGGAAGTCGCTCAGGACGAGTTGGAGATTCGCTTGGCCGCGCTCGCCGGGCTGCTGACCCTTTTCGTGGACGAGCTCAATGGGGCGACGGCCATGGCGTTGCTGGCACATGAGGATGAGCTTGAAATCATTGCTTCCAGTGCGGCTGCTTTTAGCCCCACAGGCCCGTGAAAAGAGGAATTACAGTAGCTCTTTTCATGACGATTTGCAACCATAATGCTCCCATCCTTGTTTGTTCAGTGCATTTGGATTTTTTGGGCAGTGTGCCCTCTCTCCACTGACCAGTTTTTGTTTGCCCCCGCCTGGATTCGCGTCAAACCGACCTGTTCGTTGCGCATCGCACCGGGGCAGCCCGACGGGCTGTTCATGGTTGGAACGCTGCAGGAACCTTGGAGTTGGCTGGAAGCTCTGTCTTTGAGAGCAAGGCCTTGTGCCAGGAGATGTCCCTGGCAGCGAGGCGAAGTGGGATGCTGGATGCTGGACTGCTCTTGGTCTCCTTCACGGGAGAGGCGGGAGACGTGGCGCGGTTTGACCTAGCGGTGCTGATCAGAACAGTAAGTTGTTTGGAACGCTCTGCCATTTGGATATATGCAGGCGGTTAGTATTCAGTGAAGAGCCATGGGCACACCCAGGCAATGCAGGGCATAGAAAATATAGAAAACCTATCCCAGCATGTTGCACCACATGCTGTCAAAAATTGCCGGGACATGCGAACAGTACCAGCTTTACCTTTAAACAAATTAGAATGCATTACAGAGCAAAACAATTTGTTGGGCTTCTCAAATCCTGTTCCGACTGCATGATGCTGTATGTAATCCATCAGCCTGGCAAGCAACTGAACATTCCAAGATTTAGCTGCTCTATATAGCTGCTTTCAAGAGACGAGGCCGAACAGCGGCTTTAGTGGTCCGCGCACAGGTCCTGGGCCTGGTGCTGAGGCCCCGCAGCCAGGGCTCCGACCCGGAGTCGCCCATGGTCTTCGATGTGGGGCGCCCGCTGCAGCCCTGGGAGTTGGCCAAGCAGTTGCCGGAGGGTCTGGCCTTTGCCAAGCGCATGGGTGGGGAGGCCGGGGAAGTCATGACGCAGCTCATGCCTCTAACACATCGATTGCTCGAAGTGTTCGTTTTGAATCGCCGCTGTTGATGGCAATCGATTTGCTGTACCCTTCCTGCAAGGTCCTCGCGTATGATGTGACGCAATTGCGGAAAGGTCGGGGTGGCTTGCATTTAGCCAAATCTGATGGCACAATGATCTGCTGAAGGTGGATCCGAAACAAGGACCCATGACATACTCCCACTCGTCAGTCCAAGTGCATAGAAGGATCGGAGGCTCCGCCAGCAGACGGCTTGTTAGTTTGGCAGCCATGTGGCCATGCGCACTCCTCCTGGCTAAAAATCAAACCGACCTGTCTACTATAATCTCCTATGTAACGTTCAGAAATGTTCAGGAAGGCCAGTCAACAATTGGCCAACAATGACAACGAGACTGTTAGGGAGGTGGGTGCCTGGACTGCTGGCATGCCTTCAGCCCCAAAAAGCGGCAGATCTGTAGCTATCGGTGTATCACCTAAGGTTTGGCCGAATCTGAGCCCTTCAAAGGGCCACTCTGAACAAGTTAGACCATGGATATACCGTCCTCCCTTTGTGGGAAAGCGCATCTCGCAAGAGGAGAAACAATGAGAAGCGTCGCTTTTCCTTTGTTTTTGGTGCTGATTGGATCACGTCATTCCGCGACATCTCTCGATGTTCCTTTGTCCCAGGAGGACCTGATCAAGTCCGATCCTTTCAATTTCGGATGATCGAGTTGCAGGACGCTTTTTTTTCACACCAACATTGGATGCTCGGTCAGTTTGCGCGCCTCATTGGCAGCCTTTCTGTGACACTCACTGATGTCCCCGAAGATTCGCGCGTCCAACGAGCTTGCCCCGCGGCCTCGCAGGAGCTCTTCACCGACCCGGAGCGCCACTTGGCAGAAGAGATTGTTTGAGCCCAGCATGATGGGTCTCAGCCGTTTGTCTCGAACGAATGGCTTTTCTACCGCCTGACCTGAGGGAGCTCGTTCTCGGTGGTGACGATTCCCACGACCTTGGCGCTGGAAGAAACCAAACGTCTCCTTCAGCAGCTGGAGGAGCAAGACATCCGTTGTGGCCTGGCCACTTGGCCTGGTGGAATAGGTTTGAGCACTGAAGGCAGAGTCAGGCAGAGGGGCAGAAATGAAGCCAACAGAGTGCGAATGTGTCTCAACATGGAAAGGCAGGACAGTTGACCGGGGGTTTCGGGTTGTGTTGTCATGGAAGGGCACTGAGAGGGCCATAAACCTCATATTCTCCTTGATCAGCTTGATCGGTGCTGATGAAATTGAGCATTTTAGTGAGCAGTGTAGGCTAGTGGCTGTGACCCGCGCGTTTGAGGCAAGGATGAGAATTCGTGCACAAAACCCATGGAAGTCCTCCCCACAACAACACAAAGCTTCTCTTTTGCCCAGGTGATTGCGAATCGCATCCTGGACATGGAGCAGGTGTCATTGGATTATTCTTTGCCACCATGCTCTCATTTGGACCAGATATCACCATCATGGCTAACACACGCATCAGTCAGAATTTGCTGATACTGATGGACTCAAGATTTGAAGTGCCGAGAGACAATGGCCCAATTCCTCTTGATCCAGGTTGGTCAACGAGCAGCTAGCCAGCAGAAAACCCAGCAGGCGGGAATCATGGCATGGGGCAGTAGGATCGGATTAATTTTTGGCATGAGCTGCCTGCAGCACCCAGGGATCTGCAGTTCTACCCCAAGTCAGTGGCACTCTATCACCTTATTGACAGAGAATAGCACCGGTTTCCTTTCGAGGTGGCGCTGGAGGCACTGGAAGCTCTTGCCAAACGAGAAGGGATGGAGGCTCTCGGTTCAGATTTGGCAGACTGTGACCAAGACAAAGTGCCGCCACAGATGATGTTTCCCTTCTCAGATGTTCCGTGTTGTTTGCACGGTTTGGACAATCTGTTAATCTGTTGCCCCCGACACCATGTCGTTTGGGCAGTTCGATAGATGGAGAGTCCTGATGGACTGACTGGCAGCCTTTTGCGACAGGTGATCCGAGTGCCTTACCTGGACCGTGAAGTCCAGGGGATTTATGGTTTGCAGTATTTAGGCAAGAGCCTGGTGGACGCCTGAGTGGAAGACCAGCCTGGTCGGACACGTTTTTTCGCAGGCGTTTGAGAAATGCTTCTCAAAGAGCAGCAAGGGTGCTGTTGGTGGCCGCTGGTGGCTATGGAACAGGCTTGACACAGCACCCCTGCAGAGCCTGATTGCCCAGCTGGCTGGTGCCTGGTGAAGGCATGAAATCAATGGGCCGTCCTCTGCGCACGGCACCAGCCAATTGGGGAGATACAGCACCTGAGGAGCGAAGGAAAAGGTGGCTCCATGCATCCATGACATTTTTCATGACTTTAAAGGTGAAGCCTGGACCTGGACCACTGGTACCGGTGGTTTGGTGAGCTTCTTCAGTCAGAGAACTTTTTGTGTGGAACATCTACTGTGCCGTGCCGGCTGTCTGTTCGGGCTCCAGCATCGCCCAAGAATTTGAGAAAGCAGTCGCCATGACTGATGAGGCCAGGCCAGGGTTTCTAGGTGCCTTTGTCAACCGGGGCCGAACCGTACCTCGATACGGCTCGATGCGTATTGTCATGGCGATTTGCAATGATTCAAACATGTTACCTTGTGATTCTGTGCACCTTTCATGTGGCATGCAGCTTCTTAACCTATAGGTTATTAATGGTTATTATAATGATTGTTATGTTACGTTTTCTGTTTTTTCCCCTGCAGTGGTCAGGTGGCCAGTGTTCTGTAATATGACCATGCAGGTATATGCAGGTCATTGCCCCCCTTGGATCTTACATGGTCAACACCCCCACCTGCCCCGGAAACTCTTCTTCCCACCCCTGCAGGGCGGCGCTGCAAAGCCGGGCATCCCAGCGGCCGACGAAGCGCGCGGTGTTTGACCTCCCGCGGGGTGCGTGTGAGACGCCGACGCCCTAAGGACCGATGGCAAAGAGACGGAGATAGACATCCCCATCAGCCGCTGGGCGACGTTCGGTCTTTGAGGCAAAGGACCCCACTTTAAGTCCCTTCCCTCCCAAGTGATTTCGGCTAAAATGGGCTGCGGGAGGCCCAGCGTAGAAAGCACAAGTCATCCTGCTGGTTGGCAGGAAGGTGAGGTGAGTGAGTTTCGAGCTCCATTTTTTGTGCAGGCCTCCAGCCAATAGGTCTCTAGCCTAGGTGTACCTGCAGACGGGGCAGCCACTGGCGCTGAAGGCGCAGGACCGCAAAAGGGCTTGCTCGGAAGGCGTGAAAGCGACCAGCACGTCACGTTTGCCGTCTCATAGCCATCCGACGGAATCCTTAGCCATAGCCTCAATATGCCTCAGCTTTTTGTTTCTTTTGTTGCAGGAGCAGCTGCGGCACCTGCTGAGGGAGCTGCCACCGAAAGCGCGGCCGACGGCGCGCCAGCAGCTCCAGCAGAGACCCCTGCGGACGGCGCGGCTGATCCTGCGGCCCCTGCAGCACCTGCAGAAGCACCGGCTAGTGGTGGTGATGTTTCCGCAGACGCCAGTGCAGACCCCAGCGCGCCTGCAGCCCCTGCGGGTTCCGCTGAGACGCCTGTGGATCCTGCAGAGCCTGGTGCCCCTGCAGCACCAGCAGATGGCCCAGCGGAAACACCAGCCGCTGAAGATAAGGTAGATGACACCGGCACTGGGGAAGCTAAGCCAGAGACCGACAAAGTCGGTGATGGAGGGAAGACAGATGATCCGAAACCTCCTGGAGAGGAAGAGCCCAAGGTGGGGATAGATTCTTTGCGTGGTTTTCTGGTTCAGATTTGTTTTTTGGACGGAGTGCGGCTGCCAGGATGACGCCGCAAAGTCTGTCGGGAGCTCAGACTTGTACAGTAACGGGCTTTGAAGGACCCGCCATGGAAAGCAACTTGTCGTTGTGTGTATATATATATACACATATAGATGTATTCCTATTATATATATAATATATATAAATTTTTCATGTGTTTGTTTTCTTCAATTTTTTTCTTGCGAGTTGGCTAGACAGAAGAACCCCGCTCATACTTACAACGGCTGCCACCCCTTGGCAGGGTGTCACAGTGCTCTGGCACATGTGTCCAAGGCCGTTGACCGTCTCAGCAAAGGAGTGGAAGGCCTCCGCACGGTAGCTCCGGTATTGAAAAGATCGGACAAGACACTTGATTATCTGGAGATGATGCCCTCATGGTAGGTTCAAAGGAAGGCGCACTCAAGGCCAGGCATGTGCTGCCACCTGCTTGTAGTGGCGCATCATTTGGCTCTGGTCCTCTCTTGGCCTTTCGGCCCAAACCACGGCACGCTAGCGGCTGTGAAGCTTTCGTGCCACGGCACGCGCGGGTGCCATGAGTTTTTTTGAGAAGCTGACCAAGCGTGTGAAGGAAGTGGCAACTTAGTCTTAGTACCAGGTAGCAGTGCGGGGTTGAGGGCTCTAGCCTTGTTGGTGCAAGGCTAGGGTGCAATGCCGCAAGATGGTCTATAAGCTTGTGCCTACCAAGAACCATGCTGAATTGACATTGATCATCATTGATCTATATTCTTGTTTGATCTTATGGACATGCTGCATTTCTGTGTGACGTCATGGGGCTTGAAGTCCAAGAAGAGAGCCAGCCTGTTGGCTGATTTTGCATCTCAGGATTCCCTGCTATGTGTTGGCCTGGATCCCCACAAGTCAGAACTGGAGGAAGATTCGGCGGAAGGCGCCTTTCGCTTCTGTCAACGCATTATCGAGGACAGGGCTTGGGTTTGCATGGGTGGTGGGGGAAAGAAACGGTAACGTGATGGAATGTGTATTCAGTACTGTTCACCGGTTGTTCACTATGAGCAATTGCAGGGACCAGTCACTGGTTAAGAACTGCCTGATCCACCAAAAAGTATCCAGGAGACCAAGGACCATGCCGCTGCCTTCAAGCCCAATGCAGCCTTCTTTGAGGTCTATGGCGCTGCTGGTTGGGAGGCTTTGCAGCGAACCTTGCAGTTGATCCCAGCAGAGATCCCGCCCTTTGACGGAGAAGTGGATGGGACTGTCTAGAAACCGTGGCCATCGAGGATTGTTTTTTTCGTTTTTTTTTTTGTGCCCTGCTCTGGGTTCCATTGCTGCAGGGGCTGCATAAAGGGGCGAGCAAACATGTACATTTATATCGTATTATTGTATGGTGTTGTGTTGTATTGCATTGTATTGTATTGTATTTGCCATACTATATTACATTGTTCTATATTACAATATGCATGACAATACGCATTAAATATGCACATGGATTGCACACACGTCCAGCATACCCCTTCTCTGACTATCATTCAGGACACAAACTCGTTTTCAGCCAACTGTTTGCTTGCCCGCAGAGGATCTCAAGTGTAAAGGCAGACTTGAGTCACTTTTTGATGCGACTTGAAGCTCTGTGTGATTTCCCCCCTTCTTCACACCCCCGCAAGTGAAAACTCGCCTCTCCTGGCCGCGTGGGATTTCGGCCTCTGGCCTCGACGTCGGAGTTCCCCCCCGGCCCATCACCGCTCTTTGGCCCTCGCCGTGCGAGCGATCGCCGATCGAAGCGAGGATCGTCCTGGACGCGAAGCGCGGCGATATCGGCTCCACCAGCGAAGCCTATGCCAGCAGCGCTTTCCAGACCCTGCGCTGCGATAGCGTGACCGCAAGCCCCTACCTAGGTGGGAAAGGAGAGAACTTGCAGGAAAAGAATGGATACAAGGTGAAGAGATCATATCAAATAGATTAAACATGTTTAGCAACTGTGAGTACTCATAGGGTGCATACGCAAAACTATTCTACCTATCACCCCCGACACAGTGTGACTGTTCATCGGTTGAGCTTGATTTAGACTAATTATATAAGCTGCTTTAAACTTTGACACAGCTCCAAGGGGCACCCCGAACCCCAACTTTGTGCGGAGCAGACACATTTGTATGATGTGTTTAGAACAGACATCAATTCCCTTCAACTTGGCATATTTTGTAGAATAGGCTTTCATGACCCATGCCTGCAGGTGGTGATGGCTTGCAGCCTTTTCTAAAGGATGCATCCAGAGGGGTCTGGGTCCTGTGCAAGACATCGAATCCAGGCGCTGCAGACTGGCAGAAGCCCAGAATAAGCGATGAACCCGGACTTTTGAAGAGTGCAACAAGGTCCTGCGAAGGAATCAGCATTGATTTCTTTGGCCTGGTTTTCGGGGCCGCCAATGCATCATGCATCCATTCCAGTTGCGTCTGGCGCCTGTGCTTGCCAGGCTCTCAAGATGTCCAAGCTTTGGAGCTGCCAAATGGTGAGCCTTTGTACCTTGTCGGGCGTGATGCCCAATCGCAGGTGGTTCTTGCACAGGACGGTTGACCAAAATCAGTGGCAAGACTACTAGGACTGTGGCAGCCTGTAACGATCCTGGTTCTGTAAAGACGGGCACGGCAAGTCAAGTGATCTCAACACATACACACACACACACACACACACCGTATATAATTAAATATCAACGAACGAACAGATCTGAGCAAATTGAACAGCTTCTTCACTCTGAAATTCCAAGCACTTCCAACCAGCTGGGTAGCACAACTCCAAAGGGGACTCAGCCACACCGCCGTGCCGAGGTATCTTCATGTTGCCAAGCTTTGCTGTGGAACGTGGGCCAAAGAGCATCAGAATGCTGGGCTGGTGGCACCTTGGGTTGTGCTACAGAGACTGTGCCACCGGGAAATTTGGGACACTGTATTTGGGCATGTTCAAAAGCGCTTCTTACTGTGTGGTCGACGGAGCCACGAGAAATCATGCCAGTGTTAGTCGGCGCGCAACCGGCTCCAAGCCATGCGCATTCACTCCATGCTGACGGGTGCAGCTGTGTGGCCTCGCTCAGGTGGGAGCCACAGATGTGGAGGCCATGCAGAAGATTCGAAGTGCGCTACCAGACCCTGGGGCCGAACTCAACACTTTGGCCTAGTGCCAGAGCCACAAATCCCTGCATATCTCCTTATATAACTAGTGGATACTAGTGGCAAGTGAATGGCACATAAGGGCCCTGCTTTGGTCAACGCCCTTGGCGACATCCGCTGATGGAGATAGCCTGACACCGCACTCCTGTTCAGAACACACACACACAGATATATATATATAGAATATATATCATTTCAGAGGCACGGTGGCATACCTAGCCTATCACATGATGCCCAATTTTGTTACTGTATCTAAAATGTGTTCGTCATGGGGTTGTATTGGCCTCCTGTCTGGGCGGTCCCAACTTCGACCGAAAGAAACTGGGCGTGCACGACCGTTTAGGGATGACGAATCAGTTCTCAACAGCAGATCCGGTGGTCCAGAGCAAGGAGAAATAATGAGCAGGCTTTTACGCTTCTGAGATATTCTGAGATTCTGCCCAGTATGGCACTTGATTCTGCGATCTAAGGATGTGTGGTTCCTCTCCCCGGGCATCGGTGCTCAGGGTGGCGACCTGCCCAAGGCCTTGAGTGCCGGACTTCGCAGTGACGGGCTGGGCATTTTGTTGCCCATCTCGCGGGGCTGCTTGGGAATCAAAGAGAGGATCGAAGGTGATCGAGGTGTTTTGACCCGACCCGACCGTGGCCCCTAGAGTCCTAGAGATGGAAAGAACGGATTCGAGGACACGGACACAGACTTTGGGACCGTTTCTGTCTACGGCCCTGGGCTGCTATAATAGAAATATGATATATGTACTGTAATATTCACCTGAAGGGACACACAACACGTCTCCATTGATAGCCTTTTGACATGGTTTATGCCAACATTGCACATGTGCATGATATTGGGTTGACAGCCTGCCGGAAGATCATCGGAGATCTATACTTGATTATGATCCCCTATATGACTTCAACTCCTTGAGATTTGGGACTCAACTGCAATGAAGGCCACCTGCAGTTCCGAAAGTCACTAACTTAAGATGAGTTAGAGTTGGGCTGACCATGCCACCAAGAGAGCTGCAAACTGGAGTCTTAGGGCTGCAAGTAAGCTACCAAGAAGACACGCTTTTCCACTGTCAACTTGGGAGTGGGTTGAACAGGTCTAAAGATTACAACATGTGGACTCCCACGGGCCCACGGGCCGGTGGGCTTCGGCACTGAGGCATTTCTAGAGCTGAGAGCCCGAAGCAGATGGCTGAAACCTTCCGCGTAGAGATCAACTCTCACAGGGCTTCCAGATGAGATAGCTTGACATCATGCACCTGATCGCTTGAGCGACATCCTTTTAGACTTTGTTTAACATCGGACTTGTGGGCCCTGAGAGGTAGACGCCCCGCTTGAGCTGGGAAGGGTTGAGACAGAAGTGAAGCATGGAGGATCCACCGACTCCAAGGACGCGACAGCTTGTCATGCTTTTGAAGCTTCTTCAACCCTCTTGGATTTTGGGAAATCGGCCGGGCCGGGCCCAGCCGCGAAGCGGCCCAGCAGCAAGCTATGCGCAGCATGGCGCTGCTGCGGTGGGGGGGAAGGGGAACTGGTTGCGGAACTCGGCGAGAGAACTCGGCGAGAGTCCCTGCTGAGCAACTGCCAAAAGTCCCTGAGCGAGGTATCCATGTGACAATGCATGCAGAAACGATTCGATTGAGTATGATTGAGTCCAGAGATCCAAACCATTGATTTTGGTTTTGGCAAGTGCGCAGACTGGGCAAAACATGCACACACACATATGCTATGATCTCAACCTCTTCAGTGGCTTTTGCTCTGACAGACGGACCAAAGGGAAGAGACTTCTTTTGGTTGATCAGTTGGGACTAACACATTTTGCCCTTGGCTGACCTTCAATTGTGTGCTGTTGAGGAACTTTTCCCTCTGATTTACTATGAGATGCTCAGCCCCAGATCCGCCAGCTGTAGCTTTGGGCGTCAGACACGCCTTCATTCAGGTGTCATCGGCGACTTTCAGAGCGGCTTGGAGGATTGGGCCTGGGCCTGGGCGGTTCCTTCAACCCAAAGCATGTGGGCAGAAGACTTTTTGGGGGTTTGAGATCTATATATTATATCTGATATATATATATACGAATATACGATGCATATATATATATATGCCAGACATGATCTCCGCGATGAACCCAGTTATGGTCGGCGCGTCCTGAAAAGCACAGGCCTAGAAATCTGTCTATGGTCGTCATTATGCATCGTTCTTACTTGTCCCTTTTGGTTTTTGCTTCTGTACATAGACCTTCCACATCGCCAATCGTTTTTGGGATGGCCTTGTTCAGCCTTTCTGACAAGGCTTGGAAAACTGTTGCATACTATATCTATCCCGAAATTCAGGCTCCACCTTCGCCCCTTCTTCAAACTACCCCACGCATGCACGCCAGGCCATTCCCGATCCGTCATTGCGCTCAGCACTCGAAGATTGGCACACCTCGGCATGTCCAAAGTGCGTGAAACATGTCAAACATGCACATCTAGGGGTGCAAAACATCGGTGACGGCGAAGACCCATGTTCCATGCTTGGATTGGTCTTTGCGATAAGCCGAAGAAGATAGAAGTTCCTGGGCCACAGTCTCCCCTCCTAATTTTTCTTGCTCGACATCTTGGGAACTGGGAACCTGTTAAAGCCTCGACACATCAGGAGGTCTCATTTGAATGCGTGCTTGTGTTCGTGAGGGTATGTTCATGGATATCCCTTGCGGTTACAAGGTTGATTTGTGAGACATCTGAAGCTAAAGCAGCAGCTTGGGTGAAGCTCAAACCATGGCATTCACTGTTTGCATCGTCACCGGGGATGCCAGGGCTCAGAAGATGAACCTCCACGTGCAGGAGCTCAGGACGATCATGGACGGCCCTGGCCTTGGGTGGTTTGGATGCTTCACTTGAACCCAGGGCTCCGCAACTGTTCGACCTGGTCGACCCGACGGGTTCTCGAAGGATCTCGCTCGCGGCTTAAGCGGTACGTCTCTTTCGATGTCTTTCTGAGGTGCAGCTGAGCCACCTGTGCCACCTCTTCCGCTTGGGTGGCCCAGGGTGCCGTTGTTGAAAGCAGGTCGATTTCTTGAGTCCAGGAGTCCAGACTGAGCACCATTCTGATAAAGTCCGTTATATACAGTAAAACCGTTTTACTATTGTACATATGTCTGAATATTCTGAAGTATTAATAAGTTAATAAGTACATATACAGTATCATGCAGTATATCATGAGTTATGACATCATTTAGCAATTCTCCATCATGTGGCGGTCGGGAGCGTCGGAGTCAGAGACACTGCCGAGCTAGCAGTCGGCCAAGTTGCTGACCCTGAGGCCAAGCAGAACAGCAGAAAGGATTCAATCACCAATCCACAGAGACACTCTAGACGGGTGACTAGTGACTACAGAAAGAACACTCCTCCTTATGCATCCACAGTACATGGAAGGATTGGCTGGGGTATGAATTCCTTTTGCCCTTGACCCTTGAGTAGTTTTGGGTAACGCAACAAACTGATCTTCATATCTCCACGGATTCCAGCGCTGACCCGTGAATCACGCACCGAGGGGGACGCTGGAAGAGGCCAATGGGGCCTGCAGAGTGGGCGTTTGACTCATCAGTGCTGGTGGACAAAGCGTAGCCAGTGTCCGGTGCACGGCCAGCCCGTTTCTTTTGGCCCTCTATTATCCACTATACTGTTGCCAATGCAACAAACACCCGATTTGCTTTTGACAAATCATCTATTCATTTGTTCACAGTACCTCCCTGCCGTAACTGGTGTCCATCCTTGACACTGCGCCTCGTTTTGTTCGGGCGTGTCTGAGCACTCCGGAGGAGACGCGTGCCCAAGTGACGGAGGAGGAGTTGCAAAGTGCTGGGGCCTCAGGACGCGCGAGCTGACCCCTTGCTACTCGTGAGCGTTGGCAGACATCACATGTTTTCATTCCTTGCAATTTGATGAGCACTAATAATTACTACTAGTAGCAAGAAGCTACTACAGTAGTAGCAAGGGCATAGCTACTAGTAACAAGTGCATTAATAATTAATGAAATCAGTCCAAGAACGTCAAGAACGAGTTTAACAATGTCCAGCCTGGTGAGTAGAAGAGTATTCCCAAGGTTCGAGATATTGGCAGACAACTCGCGTGAGGGCCTCGGCGGCCTCAACTGTGCACTGGGATCAACATTCATAGTTTGAGCAGGGTTTTGGCTTGTGTTGATTCATTTGATTGTTGTGCTCAGAGCAAGAAAGATGGGCCAGGGAAGGCTCAGTTTGAACGCCCCAAGTTAGTGTGAAATAGAACATGCATTAAATGGATGCCTTTTTTCCTTTGTGTTTCATGCGTATGTCTTTTACGCCCCGCCCGCTCAAACTGAGGAGCCATCGCACGGGTCGAACCACAGACGCAGAGGAGTGGACAGATCCGGAGGAATCAGCAAAGGAGGCGAGACCTGGGTGTTTCGTTTGGGCACTGTGTGAGACGAGCACGAGAGTCAGTAATAGGTACCCCCTGTTTTGCCAGCTTGGGTCTTTGTAGAGAGTTGCCGAGTTACTGTACTACCGATAAGTTACTAACTAATGATGATACAATGAACCCTTCCATTCAGTATGAATTTTCCTATCTTTTCCACATCTCGTTGGGAGACGGTGGGGTTTGTATGTATACTGTATATGTATTTCATCGTGTATCACTTCCATCATGGATTGTCATGGTCATTGCCACTGAGGTGGAGGAACTTCGCCGTGTGCGACGGCAGATCCGTTTCTTGGTCGAGAGATGTTTGGAAAGTGTCTAGAGGTGCAAGAGGAGTCATCTGCCAAAAGAACACCCAGGCCCCGAACATGTTTTTCATTGTCTTCCAAGAGCCATTGCAGATTAGGGGAACGCCAAGATTACACTACACCCCCTGATCCCTTGATTGAAGAACCCTGCACGTTGTTTTGAGGCTTCGATGTGGTGCAGGATTTCTTCTATCAACAGTGCCAGAGAAACTGATCCATTGTCATGAGTCCACAATAGTCTTGGTGCCCTGAACAGCTGCGGTTGGCTTACCAGCACGGCATGGTGACATTCTTTAGGGTTTTGGTGTCCCGATGCTCGAGGCTCGTCACATCGGCGTCAGATGCTCGAGACTCTCCATAGACCCGATATCCTCCTACCCGACACGAGACTCATCTCGTGTGCCCGGCAGGCTACATTTTCGGTGGCATGCTTCAGAGCCTGCCGGAGGCTGGCACCTTACGAGTGGAGCCTTGGCTGAAGGAGTGAAGAAGTCGATCCAGTCATGAGTGAATCTGGCAACATATATAAATGTTTGTATCCATGCCATGACTCATATGCCCAGAATATCTAATTCCATGTGCCCACACTCATGTTTATGCACATGACAGACCTAATACAGGAGCAATGAGCCCGCTACTGACTGCTGAGCAGCCGAGGATGATCTGATCAGCGATGCAGGCACATCAGAAGCCCAGGCGTGCACCCGCAGTGGAGCAGGTGATTTGAGAAAGAGCTCGAATCCAACACGTGCAATCGCATGCAAGATGTTGATTCCTCCAAGAACTAGCCTCAAACCTGGAATGGTATTGCAAAGACAGACTTGAGGGTCCAATCAATCCACTTGAAATATGTTAGGACTCGATAGAGTTTGACTGTAGAAGCTCTTGAAGCAACATGCATTTCCAACATGCTCATTCTCGCATCTCCTCGCCATCGCCATGAGGTCAAGATTCCGCAGCCAGAAAAGCCACCGCCCCTGCCAGGCTGGTGGGGCTTTGTGTGCTCCGCAGGTCATGTGAAAATCAAGCCTCAGGCGACCACCGAAGGAGCCACCATAGCTTACAGAGGTTGAGTGAAAATGAGTGAAGGCCTTGAATACCCAACAGAGAGGCGGTGGATTTCAATGGTTCAGAGGCGAGTGTAACCGTTTGCAAAGTGGTGCTGTAGTTCTCTGTAGGAAGTGAAGCCATCCGCATGGCACTGCTTCCATTTTGCCATGCTCCGATCAGTGATTCATTCACTCCAAGTTCCCCAGGAGTTCCGCCGGGCTGGTTTGGCTCACAGATCTGGACCGGGCCTGCTTGTGGCCTGAGACAAGTTGAAGAGTTCACAGACAAAGACCAAGTTGACCTTTTTGAGGGGACACATCCTGTTCGTCATCCGGTCATGTGACTGACCTGGGAAGAGGTAGAGGGATGCCCTGAAAGCTTGAAATATTTCAGATATCCCCCAACTCATGGAAGTGGGAATGCCCCTGTTCATAAAGGACAGTAGTCTTCCACGGGACCATCTTCCACTTCCATGTTAATTAGTGAGTGAGTCAGAGTGTAGCCGGATAAGAACTTTCCAAAAAACTCCCAAGGACCGAATTAAGGACCATCAGGTGGAGGGAAGTTGCTTAGGTGGAGTCTTAGGTGACCATCTTAGGACCTAAGTCCTTAGTCGGGTTACATGGTGGAGTGGCTTCAGACAGCAATAGCTGTAGCATTTTCCTCAGCTGCACGCCATGCCATCGGTGTGCTGCGGCTGTTTCCTGGGTGTCTCGGAGGTTCACTTGGTCTTCGGAAAGCGATGGATGGTCATCAAGTGCCTGGGCCAAACGCTGGATGGTCATGGAATGTCAAGGATCATTTGGATGATTTGCGGCCAGCGTTCGGTTTGAGGTTTCTACTGAATCAGGGGAGGTTGATTGGCTGGTGGGTTCCGGCTCGATCGTGGCTGAGGCGACCGCAGCGATCGCCGAAACCGAAGAGCTGCCCTGAAGAGTTGAAGCTGCCAGGGGTCGTCCCAGTGGCGCCTGGGCAAAGAAGGAGTCTGTGGTAGGCTCTCACTGACTTGGTCTCGTAATTCGGTAGAGAGATCAATGGGAGCCACAGGCTTCTCAAAGAGCGTGCACCTCCGTATATAGTGGTGGGAAGCTATTTGGGGCGCCGGAACTTTAAAACCTCCCGGCTTGAAAGGCGGTCATGAGGAGCTCACGTTGCGGAGCCTCCCGGAGCCTCAACGGATCAAGTCTCAGCAACCCAGTCAGTCTCATCAGATGGGCGCCCAGGGGTCCAACTCCACAGACCTCCAACTGCTCGATGAGAAGAACAAGCCCGAGGAGACGTCCAACGTAGAGGCCGAGATCTCCCAACGGACTTGGTCAACTAGAAAGGTTGGATCTATGAGTTGGATCGGCCCCCCCTGGTTGGTTTACAAAGGGTAAACCTTGACCATCCAGAGGTCACTCCAGCCAGAGATTTGGTCCATGGCTCATATGATATATTTCTGTCTTTAACACTTGTTAGGCCCTCATCTTCACATCCCGCCTCCAGTGCCCTCAATGCTTACAATGTTTACACTGTGATTGTCATCTTCATTTGTGATTGTCCGTGTGATTGTCATTCGCCGCATCCGTTGCAATTCGGCAATAAGTGGGTGGCCGGATGCGCAGGGGCCCAGCAGCTGGTCCATGCTGCAGAAGTCCTTCCCCGACTCTCCGAAGTCAGAGCTTCGACGCTTCGCCGACGGCTGGCCGAAGCCCAACGCAGTGCCTGGGTCGCAGTGTTTGGGGTGAAGGCCTCGATGTGGGAGATGGGGAAGAAGTAGTTGAAAGCGGGCTGACAGAACAGAGCAACAACAACAAATTGACGAGAAGAAACAATGGCACAATGGCACTCGTAAAGGTAAACAAGATGTATGTACTTAATGAATTAACGGTTTTTGCGAAGATGGCACCAACTGCAGTTTGCAAAGGTTTGGCGCTCCTATCAGGGGTCGCCAGTGGGCATCGATGGATTTGATCGTGCAACTTCATTCTTTCACGCCCACTGAGTCGACCTCCCTGCGAGAACATGAGGTCAGACGTGACATGACGACATGACGCCATAACGATTATAGTGACCCCAGAGAGAGGATCCCAGGCTTTGTGGTCTTACTTTTTTTGCCAATAAACATGGCAATTTTCCGATTTGCTCGGCTGGAGCGCGCCTACGGCAGATCATGAGAGAGTACGCATACAATTTCTGTTGCCCGTGTTCACTGTTCCCTCATCATCGGTTTCCGTCGCTTGCTCCAATTGAAACCTTTGCGTGTTTTCGTTTGTTCCACCATCCAGAATCTACGCATCGATTGGGTTCGACCTTTGCAAGTAAGTAGGTGTGTTTGGAATGGGGCGAGTTGAGTTGCCGATGCTCTTGGTGGCCTGAGGCCATTAAAGCCTACGAGAACCACCTGGCCTGGCGAAACCTAAGCAAAGCCGAGGAGCTGGAAGAGGCTGGGGCCGTGTTTCGCATTTGGTGCAGCTTTGGCCTCTAATAAAGATGCCCTTGTTACTTGTTACTAGTAGTGATGGCCTCCAACCTACTAGCGATGGCCTCCACCTAGTAGCTTCTTGTTACTGCAAAGATCAGTAAGTTCCTGTCTACTTTGTGCCTCCAGGGCCCTCAGTTCCTATCATTTCGTTTCGAAATCGGCTTTTTCGACAGGCGCGGGATGAACTTCCGGAGTGGATCAGTCGCGGCCACTTTGTGGCCAAGGATGGTTCGGCAGCCATTTTTCTGTGACTTGGAGTGAGAGGGCTGCGCACTTCTGGTCATGGTATGGTGCTTGAACCATTTTGAACCAACCCTCTATATATTGGTGCCAGCAAGGCCTTGGGCTAGCATCAGGATTTGACAGTCGCCAAGAAGCGAAATTGGGTTCGAGTGTACTTCATTGATGTAGCAGCATTTTGTTCAAAAAGTCAAACACTTTGTTGTTGACTGTTTCTGTTTGTGCCCCACACAAAACATTAACCGTTAGGCGCCAAAGCAAATGGTCGTGCACCTGAGGACCAATATGATCAGTAAATATAGTGGGCATGTGGTCTCATAGTCCTTACCTAGGAAGGTTAAGGCTGCACACCTTGAAACCAATTCCGATGCGTCGGTTGCGAGCTGAAAGATGCTTAGAGCGTAGCTTCGAGGCAGATGGCGCGCACAGACTGCCAAAAGCCTACCGAGCTATACTTTAAGGCTAGGCCTGGAGCAGGAACTCAGGGAGGGTTGAGGAGAGGACCGCTTTTTGAGCCGACTGGCGTACCTCTGGTGTTTGCAACCGCTTCGACTCGCTCTACACCACGCAGAACAAACATGAACAAACCAAACCCAATCAATTAATACTAGCACATAGGAACAGTGTGGAATGGCATGCCAGTCTATGAACGCACATGAACAATCATGAACATAGTGTTGCGCCATGTCGTGCTGCTGTTGTTGGATGTTGTTGGAGCTGCCGCTGTGTTGTTTCAACTGAACCAAGGGTGGTGCATTAGTGTTCATCTCGACTGGAACTGTGTGGCTCCACTGCCAATCAGACTGCACTTCACTCAGTTGCTGACTGTCTTGGGCTCTTTGCAGGCACTGTGCTGCGCCATAGAAGAGGTGGTGCCACGTTGCTCGAAGTGCAAACGAGAACAAGCTGATGGATGCTGATGGATGTTTTGAGTCACACATCCGAAAAGCTTATCATCACCTACCAATCACATGGTAGTGGTACATGGCGATGTTGGCACAAGCTTTTAAAGGCTTTGGGCCCTGTGCTCATTACGCCAGTCGTTTTGGGATGTTTTGGTGCCGAATGACGAAGAGCAGGGGACGTGCAGGGCCTGCAGGGGTATTTTGATGGTTAACTTTCACTGTTGTTAGTTATTAAGAAGCTTCAAAGACACACTAAAAGGCTTTATTGTTTCTACAGGTGAAACGATTCCCAAGGAAAGAAAAAGTGAGAGATTCCACGGCAGCAGATTTCACACCAGGTGACGCGTAGTGTCGGGCAATTCAACGTGTCTACGATGAAAAAGTGTCCGGGACTGTCAGAGAACTTGCACACGGAGATGCAAGATGCCAATTTAAACAATTGTCATGCACGTGTATGTATATATACACATTCATATACATTCCATTCATGCTGGAAGACTTCTTTTCTTGACATCCATCCGAGTTAGCCGAGGTCACGATTATGTTGAACAGTTCGAGAAAATAACCATTCTGATCGACACTCGAGGCAAGGAATGAAGAGTGAGTCGGAGCTCAAAGCAGTGCTGTACCCTGACTTGGGTCACACCAGTGGTCACACCGACCTCCCAGCTTCTCATTGGGCGCTTCGTTTTGGTTTGATATATATATATATATATCTCTTGAGCTTCCTTTGTTTCAGAAAGATCACCCCTCATTGCCGACTGGCGGCAGTCCAAGGCGTCAGCATGTTCAGTAGACAGTTTCTCGATAGCGGTCTGAAATCGG